CTCTCTTGAAAACAAAGAAAAAAACGAAAACGATGATCATGTAGAAGAAGAAGAAGAAGACAAGGAGGAGAAGAAAGACGTGGGAAGAGTGGGGGAAAAAGGGTAACCGAGCTAAAGAAACAAAGGGAAGGAAGGGGGGAAGAAGGGGGGAGAAGGGAGGGGGTGCTGATAGGAGCAGGTAAAGATGGTCATCATTTGACTTCCTCCTCCTCCTCCTCCTCCTCCTCCTCCTTGTCATCCGCTCCTTATCCTCTTCCTTGTCTAGTTATTGAGATCCTCGTTTTTTTTTTTTTTTTGTCACCGATAATCGCGTTTGTTATTTCACGTCGTCCTCCGCGATTGTTCGTTTGTTGTTGCCGTCTCAACTGATACAATCATCAGAATGATCAAACATCCGAAGTTTCATTGAACATTCCGTGGACCATCAATCAGTCATTCACAGAAAGAGAAAAAAGTCGTTTGCCTCCCACCTTCCTGTCTTCATTGAGCTGAACTATCATTGTACTTTCGCTGAACTATCATTGTACTTTCGTTGCAGCTCCTCCCACGCTCGTCGTTCCCCTCGTTGTTTTTGTCGTTTACTAACGACAGCGGCAAGATAAGATGAGAGAGGAGGAGGAGGAGGAGGAGGATGTGCAAAGGAGGAGAACGAAGAAGCAGGAGGAAAAAGCAGGGAGGAGGAGGACGAGGAGGGGGAGGAGGACGAAATCAGCACTTCTTGCTTTCCCTCTCTCTCTCTCTCTTTGTCTCTCTGGCTCTCTCTGTGTCGTGTAGCCTTGAGAATTTGTGTTCAGGATACAACTGAAAACCTTCATGGAAACTTCCTGGAACCTTCCTTTGTGTGAGAAATCGTTTTTTTTTTTTTTTACTATGAGCATTTTTCTTAACTAAGGGCGTATTTAGACCAGGAATTAAATTGAATTGAAGTAGCAAATATGGAAGAATGTGGATGGACTTGACCGCAATTATGTCCAGAGGGGAGTCGAAAAAGTCCTAGTGCGAGTGTGCCCTGAGAGGGCATATGCGGAAGGACAAAAGAATAAAAGACAGAGAAGACAGAAAAAACAGAGGAAAGACAGGAAAAGACGGAACGCAAGCAACGATGGCGCCCTCGCTTCATTTTTTTTTATTTTTATTTTTGGTGTTTTTATTTTTTAATAACTTCTTCATTTTTTCTTTTTTTTTTTGGTCCTTCCGCGGAGGCAAATCGTGTACGCCTCTTTAAGTAAAGAAAAAGAATAGAAATAGAAATAGAAATGAGAGGTAGATTTGACATTTTAGGAAAGTGGAAACTTGCCTAATTCGGATCTGAAAGGAGGAAGTATTCCATCATCGCATGACGATTCAGGCTCTCTCTAAGTCATTGCAGCAGTAACTGCTATGGATGGACAGTAAGAGCACGTATCTGACCGTAATTTTGGTCAGATACGTGCTTGCTGTGGACAATTATGGAGAGAGCAACGTACGAAGGTAAAGACGGAGCCGCAGGACTTTGATGACGACAACGATATTGATGATGATGGTGATGATGACTTGGATAAGAACGTGGATGATGATGATGATGATGATGATGATGATGATGATAGTGATGTGGTGATGATGATGATGATGATGATGATGATGATGATAGTGATATGATGATGATGAGGAGGAGGCCGCAGAAGGGGGTAGATAATGATGATGAGCATAAATATTCATGGAGAAAGGGAGTGTTGCAGGCCAAGCAGAAGAGGGATGAACACGATGTTTACACGGTCGAGGAGGAGATGGATGCACCGGATGCCGATGATAGTGATGATGATGATGAGGAGGAGGAGGAGGGGAGAGAAAGGAGGTAAACTAATTTTTGTTTCTCCTTGGTATTATCTGTGTGTGTGTGTGTGTGTGTGTGTG